TAGATTAAAAAGGATTTAATATGATAAGTTATACACCATATAAGTCATTATATTTAGGGAGTTCTATTCATTTGAAGTTGGGTCTTGTGCCAATTAAAACATCCTTTCCACTTAATGTGTCCAACTTGTTCCATACAAGTTCTTGTCATTTCCAAAACTCCTTAGTATGTTCCAACACACCTTAAACATACATTATCAATTCAACATGATGTGTCTCTATCCCATAGGTCTCCTTTAATACTCAAATACGTTATTCCCAAATACCGTTGGCGCACTTTAAAAACTTAAATAATTAAGAAATTTTTATGAGGCGTAACACAATGCAGAGTTGGCCTAGACCGTCATCAGCTACAGAGATCCGGATTTTTCTTGGTTTGGCAGGGTATTAGCATCATTTTATAGAGGGATTCTCATCTATTGCAGCACCTATGACCAGGCTGACCCAGAAGGGTGCTCTATTCAACTGGATAAAAGAGTGTGAGGAGAGCTTTCAGAAGCTCAAGACAACTTTGACTACAGTCCCAATATTGGTATTGCCTACAGGTTCGGGGTCTTATACTGTATATTGTGATGCATCGCGGATTGGTCTCGGTGCGGTGTTGATGCAGGACGGTAGGGTGATTGCCTACGCGTCCAGACAGCTGAAGGTACATGAAAAGAACTATCTTGTCCACGACCTTGAATTAGCAGCTATTGTTTATGCCTTGAATATTTGGAGGCACTATTTGTATGGTGTACCTTATGAGATCTACACCGATCATCGGAGTTTGCAGCATCTGTTCAAGTAGAAGGATCTTAATTTGCGTCAGAGGAGGTAAATAAAGCTGCTTAAGGATTATGCTATCACCATTTTGTACCACCCTGGGAAGGCCAATGTGGTGGCCGATGCTTTGAGTCGCTGGGTAGAGAGTTTGGGGATCTTAGCATATCTACCAGCAGCAAAGAGGACCATAGCATTGGATGTCCAGGCCTTAGCCAGCCAGTTTGTGAGATTGGCTATTTCTGAGCCGAGTCGAGTATTGACTTGTGTGGTCTCTCGGTCTTCTCTTTATGACCGGATCAGGGAGCGTCAGTATGATGACCCCCATATGTTTTTCCTTAAGGACACGGTCCAGCACGGTGATGCTAAGGAGGTCACTATTAAGGATGATGGTGCATTGAGGATGCAGGGCAGGTTATGTGTGCCCAATGTAGATGGTTTGTGAGAGTTGATTCTTCAGGAGGCTCACAGTTCGCGGTACTCCATTCATCGGGGTACCGCGAAGAAGTATCAGGACTTAAGGCAACATTACTGGTGGAGGAGGATAAAGAAAGACATAGTGTAGTATGTGGCTCGCTGTCCAAATTGCCAACAGGTTAAGTATGAGCATCAGCGGCCAGGTGGATTGCTTCAGAAGATAGAGATTCCGGAGTGGAAATGGGAGCGGATCACTATGGATTTCGTTGTTAGACTCCCACGAACTCAGCGGAAGTTTGACGCAGTTTGGATGATTGTGGATAGGCTGACCAAGTCATCTTATTTCATTCGTGTGATGACTACCAATTCTTTCGAGCAGTTGACTCAAATTTATATCCGTGAGATTGTCAGGCTTCATGGCGTACCGATATCTTCTAGCAGTTAAAGGTACAAACTTGGTTCAGGATGTCCTGGATAATGTGAAGGTGATTTAGGATCGACTTTGCATAGCCCAGTCCAGACAGAAAAGTTATGCGGATCGGAAGGTTTGTGGTGTTGTATTCATGGTTGGAGAGCGGGTCTTGCTCTAAGTTTTGCCTATGAAGGGCGTTATGAGGTTCGGAAAGAAGGGCAAGTTGAGCCCAAGGTTAATTGGTCCATTTGAGGTATTGCAACGAGTTGGGGAGGTTGCTTATGAGGTTGCCTTACCTCCTAGTCTAGCAGGAGTCCATCCAGTATTCCATGTTTCTATGTTCCAGAAGTATCACGGCGATCTGGCTTATGTGTTGGATTTCAGCTCAGTCCAGTTGGACAAAGATCTATCTTATGTTGAGGAGCCAGTGGCTATTTTGGCCAGGCAGGTTCGAAAGCTGAGGTCAAAGAACGTTGCTTCTGTGAAGGTTCAGTGGAGGGGTCAGTCAGTCGAGGAGGCGACTTGGGAGACCGATCAGGATATGCGCAGTCGTTATCCTCATATTTTTACCACTTTAGGTATGTCTTTATGCTCGTTCGAGGACGAATGACTATTTTAAGAGGGGGAGGATGTAACGACCCGGCCGGTTGTTTTGAGAGTAATAGCCATGATCCCCTATTAACTGCTTCCCCCGTATCTTTTTCTGCTTATGTGACTTGTCGGGAGGTTTTGTTTTTGGTTTCGGAGTGTTTTGGGCCATTTAGTCCCTAAACGGAAGCTTAAGTCTTAAGATTTTGACCGTAGTCAAAACTGTGTGAAGACCACTCCAGAATGGAGTTCCGTAGGTTTCGTTAGCTCTATTGGGTGATTTTGGACTTACAGGCGTGTCCGGATTGTGTTTTTGAGGTCTGTAACTAATTTAGGCTCGAAATGGCGAAAGTCGAATTTTTGGAGATTTTGACCGGTAGTGGACATTTTGATATCGGGGTCAGAATCCGATTCCGAAAGTTGGAGTAGGTCCGTAATGTCGAATATGACATGTGTGTAAACTTTGAGGTCAATCGGACGTGATTTGATAGGTTTCGGCATCGGTTGTAGAAGTTTGAAGTTTCAAAGTTCATTAAGTTTGAATTGGAGGGTGATTCATGTTTTTTGCATTGTTTGATGTGATTTGAGGGCTCGACTAAGTCCGTATGGTGATTTAGGACTAGTTGGTATGTTTGCTTGAGGTCTCGGAGGCCTCGGGTGTATTTCAGATGATTAACGGATTGAGTTTTGGACTTATGCAATTGCTAAAGCTATTTAAGTTGTGGTGTTTTCGCACTTGCAGTGGGGAGACCGCATGTGCGGGATCGCATGTGTGGAATGATGGTTGCAGGAGTGGTATGGGGGGCATGGGCAAGGGTCACAGATGCAGAAGTCAAACTGTAGGAGCGGGCTCGCAGGTGCGGCCCAAAACTCCTAGATGCGGTCCTAGCCATTTAAGTCATTTTCGCACCTGCGATGGTTTTCCCGCTGGTGCGGTTGAAGGCTCGAAGAAGCGAGTTTATTGGGCAGAAAATAGGATTTCGAGGGTTGATTTCCCATTTCGATTTTGGGAGTTTGAGAGCTCGGTGTGAAGCGATTTTTCAAGATTTCTTCAAGGAGATTATTGGGGTAAGTGGTTCTAACTCGGATTGGACTATATTTCATGAATCTATTGTTGTTTTCATCTTCTAATTAAGGATTTGAGTTGGAAATTTGGGGGATAATGGTAGAAACTTCATAGGCTATAATTTCGAGTTTTAGAAGGCGATTTGAGGTCGGATTCGAGTAATTCTTTTATGGTTAGACTCGTGAGTAAATGTATGTTCGTATTTTGTGACTTTTACCCGATTTCGAGACGTGGGCCCGGGGAGACTTTTTAGGGCGATTTTCTAATTTCTCGCTTTAGCTTTGATTTCATTAACTAGATTAGTTTCTTATAGTTATATTTATGATATATAATTTTTGGCTAGATTTGGGTCATTCGGAATCGGATATTCGTAGAAAAAGCATTGTTACGGATTGATTTGAGCTTGGTTCGAGGTAAGTGGCTTACCTAACCTTGTGTGGGGGAGATCCCCTTAGGATTTGGTACTATTGTGACATGTGAGCGTCGTGTACGTGAGGTGACGAGTACGTACATGGGCTATTTGTTGAAAAATCTGATTTATTTTACTGAGTAACGACTTGTTTCCTTTAATTTGAGTTATACCGTTTAAATGAGTATTAGTCTATTTTTCATTCTTAATTGAGTAACCCAATATGCATAGTTATCCTGCTTAGTCTAATATCACATGTCTACGTGCTTTAAATGCTTATTTGAACTCTGTGAAGCATGCCTAGTTGATTTCCTGTTTTTCCTAGTTCTTTATCAGTCTTAACTGTAAAATTCTTGCTGTTAACTATGGTATTTATCGGTTGAGCTGTATATTTACTTTTGAGACTACGAGGAGGTTTCTCGGGAGTTCTCCTTGCATATTTACTTTTGAGACTACGAGGCGGTTCATCGGGAGTTCTCCCTGCGTATTTACTTTTGAGACTACGAGGCGGTTCCTCGGGAGTTCTCCCTGCACATTTACATTGAGACTACGAGGTGGTTCCTCGGGAGTTCTCCCTGCATATTTACTTTTGAGACTACGGGGCGGTACCTCGGGAGTTCTCTATGTATATTTATTTTGGGACTACAAAACGGTATCTCGGGAGATCCCCTGCTGTTTACCCCTGTGTGTTGTACTGTTGCCTTGCTGTGTTTCCTTTTGTTAAATTCTAGTCTCTTATTATATTGTATATTCTCATGCTTTATTTATTATATACCAGTGGGCCTGACCAGACCTCATTAATACTAGACCGAGATTAGACTTGGCACTTAGTGGGTAACGTTGTACTCATGCTACTCTTCTGCACATATTTTTTGTGTGTAGATCCAGGTACTACTTATCAGCTCTGCTATTAGCTGAGAGTGCTTGCTGTTGTACGGAGACTTCAAGGTACATCTGTCATGTCCGCATAACTTAGAGTCCCTCTCTATTCTCTCCTATGTCATTTACCTTTCGTACTTCTTTTGTTAGACTCTGGTGTATAGAGATACTAGTTTTCTTCTGTAGCTTGTGACTTACGATGTTTCAGGTTTTGGGAAGACTATGTATTATAGAGTATTGGTTATTGTACATGCCAAACGGCATTGTTATTAGTTATTCAGTTACCCACTGTTGTTACTTTCCAAGTTTTACTTTTGTTTTTGTTATATTTCTGCAATTTATTAGGCTTACCTAGTCGTAGAGACTAGGTGTCGTCACGACATTATACGGAGGGAGTTTGGGTCGTGAAAACCTCTCTTTTTCTTATAGATCCACTTGCATCCAATGGGTTTAACCCCATCAGGTGATTCTACAAGATCTCATACTTGATTAGAGTGCATAGACCCATCTCTGATTTTATACCAGCAACCCACTTATCAACATCTTTATCATGTAGTGCTTGGTCGTAATTGACAGGTTCGGAAGTTGGCTCCTCAGGGATCCTATCATATGATTCTCCCAAGAGCGTATAATGAACTGGCTGTCTTATTTCTCTCCCACTATGACTACGCACTACATCAGTTGCAACTACACCATTATGATCTTGTGGTTGAACCACATCATTATCAGGAACCCCAGTCTCTATGTTATCCACAGGGATATCAACGACTTCATCCTGTTGTGCAGTTTGCTCAACATAACTCCCACTACTTTGTGGTAGTATGACTTCGGGCACTTGTTCTTGTGGGACATCAAGTCTATTGACATTTCTCCCACTACTAAAATGCAATGGTGTGTCAAAATCGACTTTCGGGGTTTGCATTTGGTCATTTTATTTTTCAGATGACCGAGTTTCCATTCCTTTTCTAAGTTCCTGTAAAACAAGTTTACTTCTAGGAACATGGTTCATCAAATAGTCCGCTTCAAGAAACTTGGCATTTGTGCTAACAATTACCTTTTTTTCTTTAGGACAATAGAATAAACCACCTTTCGTCCCTTTTGGATAACCCCAAACTCGAATGTGCCGCAGACTAGGTTTGCACCCAGTCCACAATTCTATGGTACTGACTTTGAAGGAACTAAATTCAGAACATAATTTGTTGTTTCTAAGGCATGTCCCCAAAAGAACGAAGGCAAACTAGAATAACTCATCATTGATCTAACCATTTCCATAAGAGTCCTATTTCTTCTTTCAGTTACACCATTTTGTTGTGGAGTTCCAGGTGCAGATAATTGAGAGGTTATTCCACATTCTGATAAATAACTAATGAGTTCCGCATAGAGGTACTCCCCACCACGATCAGATCGTAGTGTTTTGATATATTTATTATGTCGCTTTTCAGTCTCTGTCTTAAATTCTTTGAACTTTTCAAAACATTCAAACTTTCGATACAATAAATAAATATATCCATACTTTGAGTAATCATCTGTGAAGGTAACAAAATACTCATAACCACCTCTTGCTTGGACATTCATTTGACCACACAAATCAGAATGAATTAACTCTAATTTATCACGTGGTCGATTTTCTTTTGAGGAAAAATTTCGTTTTGTCATTTTTCCTTCTAAACAAGATTCACGAGTTGGTAGTGCCTCTACTTTTAATGAACTTAAAGGTCCATCCTTAACCAATCTTGAAATTTTTTTAGATTTATATAATCTAAATGCAAGTGCCATAAATATGTTTCACTCAATTCAGAAGAACGTTTTCTCTTATTTAGTAAATCAATATAATTCAGTTCTTTATGTTGTAACGGTTTAGGAATAGAGCCAACAATAAAAAGACCATTAATCAATGTAGCTGATGAGAGATAACGTTTATCATGACTAATAACACATTTATCAATATCATAAAAATTAATGTCATAACCATCTCTCATAGCGCTAGAAACTGAAATTAAATTCCTTCTAACGGAAGGTACATATAATGTGTCCTTTAAAGCTAAAACTCTATTACTACCAACCGAAATACTAATATTTCCTATTGCTAAAGCAGGGGTTGTTGAACCATCTACTTGATAAACATTGATTTCTCCTCTACTTAGCCGTCGCGTTACCTGAAACCCCTGCAAATAAGTGCAGACATGATTAGTGGTTCCCGAATCTACACACCATGACATGGTAGAAATAGCCGCTAAACAAGTAGATGTAAATCACCTGGTTTATTATTCGGTTTAGCCAGATAAGCCGGACATTGCTTCTTATGATACCCAGGCTTGTTGCAGTGATAAAACTTGCTCTTAGCCTTTTTCACACCAACAGTTGCACCACCAACAGAGGATTTTTGAGCCTTTTTCTTCTTCTGCCCGCCTCTCAGCTTAGAAGAATAACCTACCTCAAAATTTAATGCCACAAGGGGAGCTTGTTGCTTGATAATAGTATCTGCCGACTGCAGCTCATTCAACAATTTCGCAAGTGACAAATCCATTCTGTTCATATTATAATTCAGGCGAAACTGCTGAAAACAGCCAGGCAGAGTCTGCAGGATCATCTCAACCTGCGTATCCTTATCAATGTTAGATCCAAGGACCTCCAGTTCATTCAAAAGACTCATCATTTTCAGAACATGGTCCCTAACATATGAACCTTCAACCATTTTGGTATTCAAAAAAGCTTTCATGGCAGTCTGCTTAGCCGCACGATTATGATCTCCAAACATTTCTTTGAGATTTTCTGGAATGTCATATGCAGACTCCATAGACTGATGTTGATGTTGCAGAACATTTAACATAGATGCCAGAATGTAACACCGCGCCATCTCATCAGCCTTAACCCATTTTTGGTAAGCTATATGTTCATCATCCGTAGCATTATCTCCAAGTTTTTCTGGACACACCTCATCGAGCATAAATTTGTACTCTTCAGCAATTAGGACAATATCCAAATTTCGTTTCCAATCAACATAATTCGGACCTTCAAGTTTGTTTTGAGTAAGAATAGCAGCAAAGGGATTGAAAGCAGTCATTGTTAATGTGAGAGATAATTAAATAAATAGATCAAAATCGGTCACGTATTATTGAATATTAAAATTCAAAACACACTACATACGTATAATCCACGCACCTTGAACAACAACTTTCGATGGAAAAAGAGCTATTCTTGCAACATATATATGTAATGACAAATTATTCACTCCAAGAATTTAAATAGGTCAACTCAGATGGAGAGCAAACTGTTAATTTAAGTCAAGTGAATATCAACATTTAATATACTAGTCCTATTGAACCAAGATACATACTCAGATAGAGAGTAAATATAAGTAATCAACAACTAGTATAACCTAGTGATTATCTATAATGAGTTTATCCGATATGGAAGAAGACCTGCGTCAACGTGTAAAATCACTATATCACCAGAATTTAACCCTGGAGTCCATAGAAAACGATCCCTACCACCATTGAATAAAAAACAACTCAAAAACAAATTTGAAAAATTTCCAGAAAATTAAAAAAAAAACATCCAAAACACCATCTAAACGACCCCGAAAGCTCGAAAAACAGCTTATGTCATGAGCGAAGCTGATGTGTATTGATCACTCGGTCGTTTCACATGGACCTGCCAACTTTCAGGTCAATCGGAGTCCGTCAACATGTTGACCTCCGATTTTCTGGCCAATTCGGCCAAATAGTGACTTTTGCGTTTTTCTTGGATTAACGAAATTTTCAGATTACTCTAATCAAATATCATCAACAATAAGCAGATATTACATGATTTTCAGAATAATTATAATATTCAGAACAAGTATTCATGCTAAAAAACAGTGCAGTTTTACAGAAAAATAATCTTTGCATGTAATTCAAAACTTTCATATTAACATGATACTACCTTTTATATTTATCCTAATCATTTAATTAGACGTGAGTAGGCTCTGATACCAATTGTTGGATTATGTATCTTAACGGAAGCAATTATAGTATCATATTCACGTGTAAATTAAATAATTAGCACACACGGAGATTATTCGAGTTACCTCTTGAAGCGTGAACAAAGCAGATTAATCTCGGTCTCCAGTTCCAGAGTTGCAAGACCGCGATCTCTGCAAAACCTCCACAATCCTCTACTGTGTTACCCAAATAATATCCATAAAAAGAGAATTTTGGGTGGGCGAAATTCCAAGGAAGAAAAACGTGTAAAACCAGTGTACAAAACGGCCAGCCATATATA